ACAAAGATTCTTCTACCCTTACCCCTCCCCAAATCATCTCTTTTACTACTGCCACGTGGGCTGCACACTTTCTCCCTTCTCCCCTCTCTCTCCTCTCCCTCATCGTCCTCCTGTCTTCCTCCTCCCTCCATAACCCAGCAAGCAAGATAGTAGCCCAAGACGCAGCCGGCACAGAGCACAAGTGCGCAAACAAGAACCAACCTGCCTACACTGCAAATCCGCACGCACTGTGACGCCTCCCCTTCTTTTTTTCTCCCCCTCCCCACATCTTCTCCTCTTCCTCCGCTTTTCCTCTCTCCACTCCCTTTTTCTCCTCCTCTTTCCCCCCCTTCACCTCCTCTTTCCCGCGTCTTCCTCCTCTTTTCCAACCTCGTCTTCCTCTTCGTTTACTCTTCTTCCTCCGCCTCATCCTCATCCTCTTTTTGTCCTCCTCTTCTTCCTCCTCTTTCCCTCTTCTTCCTACCCACCCCCCCTCCCTCCTCTTTGGCTCTTCCTCTACCTCTTTTCCACCCTTCCTTATGTCAGCAAGGCTACGCGCATTTCAACTCTTTCCCTCCTCTCCCTCCTCTTCTCCTCTTCTCCTCTTCTCCTCTTCCTCCTATTTTCGTCCTCTCTCTCCTCTTCCTCCTCCTCGTTCCCTCGTCTTCCTCCTCTTCCTCCTTCCCCTCCTCTTTGCCCCTTCCTATTCTACCTCATTTCCACCGCTTCTTCTGTGTCGTCCAGTCTGCGCGCCTTTGTACTCTCTCTTTCCCTCCTCCTCCTCTCCCTCCTTTCCTCCTGCTCTCCCTCTTCTCCTCTTCCTCTTACTCCTCTTTTCATCCCTCCTCCATTCCAGCGCTTCTTGCCCCAGCAAGGCTGCACGACTGCAAACTCGTCATCGGGACGCGACAGCGACTAAGTTCCTCCTCACCTATCTATATATCGAAAACCCCCGCGCGCGGCAGCAGTCCAGTCTGTCCCTTTTTCTCCCTCCTCTTTCACCTCTTCCTTCCTCCTAAGCAAGGCTGCACGGAGAGGTATACTCAAAACCCTTCAGTCCTTCATCATGCTAATAATTACTCTCTCACGCCCGTTCATTAACTGCCCCCGCTAGAAAATTAGGGCAAAAAATCTCCACGAGGAACCAGCAACTTTCCAGAGCGGAATCTGGTCGCGACGCGGGGTCAGATACGTCGAAGAAGGTCCACGAGTGTGAGCACGACCCTGCCACCCCCTTTTATTGATCGTCTCCATCATCGTCATCATCCTCCTCATCATCGTCATCCTCCTCCTCCTCCTCATCCTCCACTGCCTCCCCTGTGTACCACGACACTGCCCTAGGTATTAATTGCTCCTTGATTGCTATTCCAAGCTCACAGTGCTCTTCCAACTCATCTCGAAGGTCCATAGCCTCTTCCTCATCCAGAGAATTCTCATCGTCGGGGATATCAGGAGGGCTAAAGAACGCAAAAAAGCTCTTCATCCCACCGCGCTTAACGGGCTCTGTCGACGCGCAGAGGTTCTTTCCCTCCTTCCAATTAATGACAGTGCCAGCAGCACGTGCAAGCACAGAATCATCATCTTCCTCTTCCATAAAATAGGTCTTCGTCAACACACTGTTCGTGAAGAAAGGATTGGCAGCAAAGACGAACTCCAGCTTGAAAGACTGAGGGTTATCCCCATCTAATCTGCTCCACCTGATATCTTCCAAGTACTTGAGAGCTTCTGCATCCTTCTCCGTCATATGCACTTTAATGTCACGGTAATTACTCATCGCCGTCAGCCAGAAGCTGGGAATACCATGAGCAACAGAGTTAACACCACCTACTCCTCCTGCTGCTGCTGCTGCAGCTTCTTTGGCGGAGACAGGCCCGCCGCCAGATTTGTCATCTTTCCCGGAGACAATCTTGGCACGCTCTTTGTAGAACGGAGCATACAGGAGCTCATACTTCCTCTCAAGTTCAGCCACCTCCTCATGGAACCGGGTTTCCAATGCATCGTGCTCAGCTTGGAGCCCCTGCAAAGTACTCACCCGCGCTCTCACTCGCTCTGGCAGCTGCCCAAGAAACTCCGCAACTCTATCCTCTTGATCCGCCATACCCATCTCTCCCGTCGAGTTCGCCATCGCCGCGCTATACCTAGCTCACACCTACTCTCTCTCTCTCTCTCTCTCTCTCTCTCTCTCTCTCTCTCTCTCTCTCTCTCTCTTACGAGGTAGCTCTACGGACAGCACCACCTCTCTCTCTCTCACTCTCTCTCTCTCTCTGTGTGTGTGTGTGTGTGCGTGTGTGTCTTACGAGGTAGTTGTACGGACCGCACCACCTCTCTCTCTCTCTCTCTCTCTGTCTCTAACGAGGTAGTTGTAGGGACAGCACCACGGAAGCCTCAAGGAGGAACTCTCAACCCTAGCCTTGCCACGTCAGCAAACGACGCTGCAGGTCGTCCGCGTCGCGAGACGCGGCGCTGCGCGCCAGCCACGTCAGCTCGTCGGCGCAGCCGGGACACGTTCCACCGCCGATGACGATCGCCGCTGCCCGCGAAGGCTGCTGCTGCCACCTCTCCTACCCCAGATTCGTGCCACGTCGACCATCGACCTAACTGGGGTGGGAAGGCGCGCATCAAGAAGCGGGTTCTCGATGTTCGACCTTCCGCGGAGAGATCGCCTTCAAGCCAAGAGCTCAAATCCCCAAACGCGATCGAATGACCTCAGTGATCGATCGCTCATCGCGACGTCCGCAGAGGCGGAGGGACTCGCGACACCACGCATCGGCAACCTTATTTCCCCGAATACAACGTACGGACATTATAGCTGTATTTGACGCATCTTTCAGTCTAGATGCAGCTAGAATGACCGTCCGTTGTATTCGGGCGAAGAAGGTATTAGGTGGTCAGTAAACGACAAAACCTACGGGGGGGGCTAGGTCCCACTTACACGAATTAATAAGAGATATCGACCGTAGATTGCACAGATCAACGCTCACAATCTCGTAATCTGTGCCAGTGGGATAGGACCTTGCCCCCGGGAAGGTATCTTTTTCCACCCTCTACGGCCAGATACATTCTCTATGTTGCACGTTTCGTCAGTCAGTAGTGAGCGGAGGTGAGCGGAGGTGAGCGGAGGTGAGCGGAGGACTGCCGCCCTTGTGGGAGGCTGTACTCACCCTCGTAGCACAATCGTAAATGTATCTGACCGTATTTATCGCCAGAACTGAATGCATCTGGACAGTCCACAAGTAAGTGTGCGTACAAAAGTGCTAATGTGTCGCGAGCGTTCGGCCTGGTAGATGCACAACGCAAACGACTCTACACTCTACACGAACGACAAAAAGAACTGGAAAGGGAAGAGGACAGAGAACAAGATTGCCCCCCTTCCCAACAGATACGTGCGTCAGCAGTTCAGTCATCACGCGCTTGCGTCACAGCGGAGCTACAGTACCCCTCTGATAACCGCATCCACAGTTCGAACCCCTAAAACTTATAAAACTTAAACTCGTCTTTTTTTGGTGGGAAAATTGCATCTGCACCCCATCTCTTCAAGAGGGGAATACCCTCTACAGCCAGTACCAGCCCCCAAATGGCATCCCAGGCCCCTGATCTCGTTGCACATCGTGCAGTTGTAGTTTTCAATTATGTGCGGCCCTTCCGAGCAGCAGAGTCCGTGGATGGAATTTGTGATCAAAGGCCCATTCTTCGTCTAGCCAAAATTAAACCACCAGTACCTACCGTTGTTAAGGCCCGTGGCTCAGGCTATCGGTAGCCCGGTCATTCCCGAGCCTCGCACTTTATTGCCGAGCCTCGGACAACCGGTAGGACACATCGAAAAAAAAAATAGAAAATAAAAACAAAAAAACACATACAACATTCTGCAAAAAAAAAAAATAAAAAAAAAAAAAATCAGATATTGCCAACGAGAATGAATCTTCCTCGATAAAGAGGAAGATTCATTCTCGTGAGAGAGAGAGAGAGAGAGAGCATCAGCCAGTGTCTGGTGCACCAAACTCGGCGCCAGACACTGGCTGACGCCCTCTCTCTCTCTCTCTCTCTCTCTCTCTCTCTCTCTCTCTCTCTCTCTCTCTCTCGTTCGTTCTTTCCCCCCTTCCCCCGCCCCGCCGGGCCTGTTTGTTTTAGGCTGTTACTTTTCATTTTCGTCGTCGTTTTTTTTTTGGGGGGGTACCGTTTTTTTGGGACTACCGGTCGCACGCCGGTGGGTACCCCGCGCGACGTGGCGTGTTAACGGCCGCGTCGAAGTCTTCAAGCAGGGAGAGGTACTGGTGGTTTAAGAAAAATGGTGGGTTTCTTTTTGTTTTAATTACACTATATTCTTCACTTAAATCTTTCATAATCTTTCAAATTCCTTCAATCCACCTTCACTACCTACCTACCACTACTAACATAGCTTTGTTGTCCCCCTCCAGCCATCAGAGGGAATGCATGTTGCCCCCCCCCCCCAAACCATGGTGGTCAAAGATGGGGTGGGGTCGCTGTTGATGCGAATACCCTTCTACAAGGGTATCCACCCTAGTTTTTGCAAGTAACAGAAAAGAAATTTGTCGTTAATGTTACAAAGTCAGTTCGATTGTCAGCCAACTTCTGTTTTCTTATTGAATGAGGACCATGTAAATTTTTCCATGGCCGGTACGACCGCAATAATAGCCTGTTGAAGATAAAAACAAAAATTGGTGAGAATTTTACAATAACAATCCATTGAAAAAAAAAAACAGCATCAGTCTGTCGTCAAAATAACAGTTGTTTGTTGTGACCTTTCTTGGCAAGTAGCCTGCTGAGAACACAACAAATGTCTTCCCTAAAAATGGAGGTCGACGACCTAGTAGTTGTAGCACACGAGCTCTGGACTGTAATTACAGCGAATCGAGTCCCAACATCATTTGCAGCATAGAGACTAAATGGCAGCCACAAACTGTTGAGTACTGCTCCCTCAATAACAACCGTCGAGAGGCTAGCAGATGTGGTCCTTCCAAAACGAACACTTTCTCCCTATGTAACAATAACACTTCAAAGACCAATGGTTGCAATACCAATTCCTGGCCTGAAACAACTTCAGGCGAGCTTTCAGATTCATAGCACCCTTGGATTCACAACAGTATTGGCCTCGTTGAGGCTTGTTCTGTAAAAAAATCGACTCGATAAAGTAATCCATTAAATTAAGAACGACCATGCGCCATCAGCCATACAATAAAGAAAAAACTCAATCCTTTGCTATATCCGACTGATGTGTATCCCCTTTCCTCGTGGAATACACCTAATTAAGGTTTCTGGTCATATGCAGATACTCTTACCAGCGTGATGATCAGGGAGCGATCGGCCCGCAGCAAACCAGGGTCCACGACCACAAGACGAGGACTGACCATGGTAACAAAGGTGATGACAACGAACATGAAAACGACAATCCCGATTCGGCAGTGAGACGAACACGACCCACTCGTGGTCAATAGGTGGTGTCATTTTCGACGAATTTTTCACCGAAACTGCCATATTTCCCTGAATTTTTGTTCATTTTTTTTTTTCGTGTTTTTGTCTGATATGTATAAGCTTTAAGATATACATGTATCTAGTTTCGGTGTATTTGGACGAGTAATGAAAAAGTTGGCAAAAACACCGAATTCAGGAAACGTTTTGGCGAACTTCGAAAGTTACTTCGAATAAGGTTTTATAGTGCTATTCATTTTTATTTTTTTCGTTTTTTTTGCCTATTTGATTTTTTGATGTTTGTATTATGAGCCTGCATAGTTTGTTTGCAAAAGTTTCGATGACATTGCTTGTAGTGATGCAGCAAAAAACCTCGAATGTTTGGCCTTCTGCTAACCGCGTGTCACATTACCACGCCCATGAGAACTTGAAGTGGCGATCTCGATGGAAGGGACCGAGCGCCCCACGACTAGGTAACTATTTCACCCCCTTCCTTTTCTGTTGATGTATCTGGCCACAACTAAATTCACGTAATGCAGATGAGCACCTCAGAGCAGTCGTGACCGTAAGTATGAAGCAACACGATGGTCACGAGCACATTGATAACCACGAACGAATGCGAAGAATAACGGTGACACATTACTCTGAGTCACCACGTGTGCAAAATGAGAATGAAACTTTCACTAGAAAATGGAAGGATACGTTGTCCCATGTAAAGGTGTTTTTTACCTCCTTGCGCAACCCCTGCATCCCGTAACGACCAAACTATAACTTTAAACCGAAATCCGTCACTGCCAATCAGTTCCTAAGTTCGACTCCTCCATCGTTCAGTTTCGCTAAGAAATGGGCGGGGTGTAAGTTTTTTACTCCGCCATGCAGACGCAATTCTATCCTCGACTCCATTGCGCACTTTTTTCTCCTCTACCTCTTATTCTACACCCCTAGCACAAAAACTTAACTCACGATCGTGTTCGCCCGCATCCAAAACCCCTATTTATCATCTCACCTTTGTTAATTCTATTGAGAATCGAGGGGGATACCGAATTTTCTCTCCCGCAATATCCCTCATGCCTCGTTTTTTTCGTCTCCGATCTTCTCCATCGTTGTTGAAGTCCACTTCGATACCACACAGTCCGACAACCGTGTGGTGACTGCGACCGACGAGACTTGCTGCCCTACGAGAAACTTGAAAGGGAACCTGCAACTAGACGGTTTGATTAGTTTTTTGCCAAAAAAAAAAAGTGCGACGAACAATTTGAATGACAGTCCCGTTGCAGCTTCTGCCACAACGCCCCTGGCCTCCCCCTACTCAACATAGTTCACCATCTTTTGGGTCCCACCACACATGCTCACACTCAAATCGTATAGCATATCAAAGTTGGCGAACGCTGCATGCCCTGCAAAAGGTCCCCGCTTATAAGTTTTTTTTTACCCCGTGGGTCAAAACAACTACCGACTCGCTTGCACATTGAACTCCTCGGTCGTGTTTCACGATGGCCAGAGTAGAGGAATTTCGCCAGCATCTCACACGAGCACGGGCCATATTAATCTCCCCTGTATTGTTCCAATTTTAACGGATGTCCCGAAGGAACGAACGCAGGCACAAACCTAAAGATATCATCCTTGAACTGCCCAACCTCGGGCAATTTAGAATCACAATATTTTACTTACATGCTAGAACTGGAGTTCGAACTCAAATTTGTAGTTTAACAGTTCAAGCGTGTACCATCTCGGCTAGGCCAGTGGGTCCGAGTCCAAGCACGAGTCCCGGAGCCGGTACTAGAACTCGTATCAGTCGCAGAAACCGGGATAAAAATAAAAAGATAGAAAAGAAGTCGTAAAAGTGGGAGGGGGAGAAACCTTCAACACCCCCTCTGTCCCGTCAATCGGGCCGACACCAAAAACCAAGCAGGATAGCCCTGCCAGACCTTCAACCCCTCGATTGTCTTCAGGTGCTTCATTGGTCCCGCAATGCCACATGCTGGGCTCGATCCTTGTATCAACTCGTCGTAATCCATAGAAACAGGTACGACCTGGTCCGTGGGTCTACCGGAACGCATCAAGCCATACCTTGGCGTACTACCCAATATCCACGACCCCCGAATCTCGACACTCGGGCTCGAGGGGCCTCGTCCAGCTCATGGCGGCCACTCACTCCACCCATCGCACAAGGTCTTACCTCTAGTTCCCCAAGCATGGTATTTTCTTTAGGCGTCACAAACCCGACACTTCATCAATTTAGAACGGTAGTAAATTCCCTTTTTAAAAGTGGTTCTGGTAGTCAAACCTTTTAGCGTCGATCTTTGATGAGTGTCACCCTAAACT